TGCGCAGGTGCATTCCCACGAAGCCGGCTTTGACTGCCGGAAGCGTAGACGGGTTGAATGGATTCTGGGCCAGCTGCCTCTCGAAGTTCCTGGTTGGGGAGTGGAGTGAGGTTTGGGGATGTTCTCTGAGCGTGACTTCTCCCTCTCCCGAGGTCTTCTTCTCTGTGTGGAAACCGACACTCATTCTATCAAGGATTTAGAGTTTCCCAGCACAGACCCAGTTGTACAATATTTAGGATGGAGGGCACGGTGGGATGGGGAGAGAGTTGACTCCAAAGTCCAGTCAAGATGTTGTCTAGGGCAGTTGTTCTCAAATACTGGTTCACAGACCTGGTCTGGTTCTGATGAAGTTTTCCTCTCTGATGTAAAACAAAAGAAATAAGGACAGCACCGTGAGGTTGTGTGTGTGTGTTTGTCTATAAAGCTGAATTTATCCATTATGATGGATACACTTGCATTCTCAGATTATATTTGTCTTATAATTTTGGTGTTAAAATGTTCTCTGTCATAAAGAGATGTTAAAGATACGTGGTCGTTGTTTTGGAATCTTCACTAGCTGAATAAAAATTTGGACAGTCTAAGGGCATGATTCCCAATGTTTGGGGGAAAATTTTACTGGCTCATGAAATACAAGTGCACGGGAACCCATGAAGCAGAAGGTGAAGAAGCACAGGGCAGCATGAGAAGAGCCCTGGGCGGGGAGACACCCCTTAGTCTTACGAGACTCTTCCTTTCGCGGGGCCCTTGTCCTCAGCTCTGCTCTGAGAGACTGGGACCAGATGACCAGCAGTTCCTTCCAGCTGTAGAGCTCTGGCTGCATAATTACTAAATAACAGTGAGGATTTGGATTACAGACCCAATGGGCCTCCCTTATCTGATTCATAGAGAAGCACAAAGCAGACAATTTAAGGAAACCTGAAGCAGGATAACCACCAAAGCAACCCAACAGCTGCTAAATAGACACTGAGACAAGCCCATCATAAAATGTACTATGGTATGTCATAATGGTTGGGATACCAATCAGAAAGTTCTATATTAAGTACCATTGACTTAGTCACATTGTGTTTGCAAAACAAGCAGTGAACATCTGCTTATTAAAAAAAAAAAAAATTCCTCTTTCATTCTTTCCTTTATCTTTCGTCCTTTAACAAATTCCTGAGGATACATTTTTCTTGGTCCATCAAGCCCACAGTGTCATTTTGGAAAGGAAGCCTATGAATTATTTTCTTAATGCATTAAAAAGTGTGGTAAAGTGATTTGCCGGTTTGGCATAGAACCTCAGTCCCTGCCTTGAATGTAATAGGCATTTAATAAATATTTGATTGATAAATAAATTTTAACAAAAAAGTACTTGCATTCTGATTTTTTATCACATTATAAACATATCTAGCAACTGCTCTCCTTTTTTAAAAAAAGCCAAATTTTCCAAGGGGGTGTCTTGCATAGCTACTGTACAATTTACTTTGTGCTTCTGGAATTGTCAAAACAAACTTAACTGCTCTTAGGAACTCCGATCTGATATCACTGTCAAAATGTTTTACAACGATTTGGCCAAATGTTTGTGGAACAGCTGTGCTACTAGTCTGCCTAAGTCATTTTCCTTCTTTCTTTTTGGCCCAATCCTGTGATTCATCATTCTGCTTTTAGAATATTTGCCTATTTTTAAAACCAGTCAAAGAAGGCAGCCACTGTTTAAAAGTAAACACACCACACATCAACTTGGAGCAGCTTTGTAAGCAGCTTTGCAAGCCCTGAAATTTCTGGCTGGCAGGGATGCCAGCTAAACCAGATGGCATCAAGCAGTGAAATACCGGACTGGCTTTCAAACTCAGTCATCTCCTTACATCTGTCTTTGGTTTTCTTGTTTCCAATGCCATTTCCTGCTTGGATTAAATCAACTTTAACAAAACTCTTGCTTTTATTTTGTCTTTCTAAAATATTTATTATATGTTTATTTCTATGTCAATCAATTAGACTTTTATTTTTTCCAACTCGAGGAATCTAATCTTAAGCCTTTACTTATCTGCAAAATTATCAGCTTGGTCCCATATGTATGCCTTTACATGGTGTGACTATCAATAATGACAGATTTTTATAATGGGCTTTATTAATTCTGGGTCATACCAGATATTTGCTATTTACTATAGTAATGCAAATGAATAACTCTTTTCCTTTTTATTTTAAATTTTTTATAATTAAGCAGGAAGGAGCGTGACTTCATGGGGAACAAGGTGGATTAAGTCCCAGGAAGACTTGAGTTCCATTCCTGGCTGTCCTTTAGAATTCTAGAATGTACTATCTGCTCTGTACTTTGTAGAAGTGGTTTCTCCTTCTAAAAAGTGGCTGCTCATCTGTGACTATTAAGGTTGGGGTGCCAAAGTATAATATGTTCCCATTTACCCGTACCAAGTTGTTCCAGCCTTGAACTCAATGAGTGGAAATAATCATGATGTTTGGGTTGTTGATATTTTATTCAAGTAAATTGAAATGCACCTTAGACCAAAGTCCATTTTATATACAAACTATAGGTTTTATAATAAAGGCTATCTCCAAAGGGTCAGTAGAAACAAATGGTTATTTCTGTCTTTTTAAAAAAATTTTTCTGTTTTTTTGGTGCAATTCTTTGCAAATGATGGGGTGGATTGAAAAAGCCACAGTATTTGGCAGAAGTTGTCACCTCCGAGTAGAAGAAAGCATTCCAAGGGCCAAGGGATTGACTCTCCTTGTTTCCTTGTGAGATGGCACTTCAACCTGCAGCGAGAGTCTTGGGAAGATTTCCCTGTTGCTACTTGCTCTCTGCAGCTACATAACGTCGGTGAACCTGGGGGCATCCATTGTCTGGCAGGTACAGGAACAAATGGATTCACAGTTGGTGTCCCATTGCCATTGTCTGAAGCCACTCAAGTGGGAGTATTATTACACTACTCTTGACTAAATTATAGCAAAGACCCTTAAGATGTTTGGAAGAGGTGAATACTGTCCTTGTTTGAATGATATTTCTGGTGATTATCTTCGGTGCCTTCGAAGAAACGTAGTCTCTTAGAAGCCAGGAGCTCCTCGTGTGCTGTGTTTTATTATGGATAGTACTGTCAGTGAGTAGGGAGAGGATGCTTACTTCTGCGTTGTGCATGGCCTGTATTACTTCTTCTCGTTCAAAGAGGACTTCAACAGTTTTTATAAATAAATTTGTTTATAGTAGTGAGAACATAAAAAGCATGATCTTTCTTTCTTATAATTTAAAATAGATTTGGTATTGAAATTATTCATGTAGCCTGTATTTCATCATAGTCTCATAGTCATACCTGTGGTACCTGTTGTTGTCAACAAGGAGAGGATTGGAAATCTATGGCCAGTGGACCCACAGAGCCAGATACAGAGGTTCTGCTGACAAGAGGGCTGTCCTCTAGTACCAGGGCTAGGTCAGCAGTATGTTCTTTTTTTTTTTTTAAACTTCCAAGGACAGTCTTTATTAGTGCTAAAATTACTTAGTTAAACTCCAACCTGAACTGCTACACTTCTATCTTTATCTGTAGAAAATAATGGAATAAACACCAATAGCTACTCACTGCTCTAGATCCCATAACTCTTTAAACTTCCTAGTGAGGGTCAAAATGCTCTACTTCAAGATCATATTATTCTTGAGAAGCACTTTATTCTGACTGTATGCACAGCTTTTCTTCCTTTTCTTTTTTTTTTATTGCAGCATTATTTATTATTACTAAAAATTGGAACTCAATATTCACCAATAGGAAAATGGACAAACACATTCAAATAATAAATGAATGAGTGAATACTGTATATCAGTTAAATGAACAAACTAAAACTAAGTTTATTTAGTTCAATCTCAAACACATAATGTTAATCAAAAAAAAAGAACAAATTTTAGAAGAATATCTACAATGTGATTCAATTTATAGTTTAAAATCACCCATGCATAGTAATACTATATTACCTATATAGTTTGTGGGTGTATACATACATAATAAAAATATAAATACATACATATACATGATAACCTCTAAAATCAGGATAGTGGTTACTTCTGAACATGAAGAGGTAGAAGGGGAATAGAGTTGTCTCCACTCACCTTATTTCTTAAGCTAGTTTCTTACCTTTTCTTACCATATGAATTCAATTGTCATGAATTCCATTAGAAATTCTGCAGTAGAAAAACTCTCCTCCTTGCCAAATAATTGAATGGTACGATTCTCAACATCTTTTTAGTCTAAGGAGGTGAGCCTTATGGCTATGGCAAGGATAGCAGAAGTATGTTCTTGAAGAGATTCGGATAAACTTCTCTCAGGTTTCCTCTGATGCTTCTGTGAACCACCTCTTTTGATCCAGCAACACCTGCCTGTTGCCAGTCAGCCAGATGAAGGCAGCTGAGGACAGAGTTGCGGGCTCTCCCGCATCAGGACAGTGTATAGGCCTCGGGTTGGGATTGCTGCCTGGTGCATTGGGAAGAAACGCCCTGATCAGGTTACTGCCTGTCACCCACTGTAACCCAGAGGAAGCTCTGGTCAACTGCCTGTCAGTGGTGGTTTGTGGTAAGAGCAGAGGGCAAACCCATCAAAGCTTGCCACCCTTGGAGTCTTTCAGAGCAGAACTAACACTTTTTTTCACTAACACGTTCTTCTGTCCCAGTGAGGTTGTTCTGGTCACCTCATTATTACCTGGTTAAATAAAGCACTTTCCTGAATATCATATTTTTTGGTTTTGGCTAACGTAGGAGTATTGAAAGATAAGCAGTACTTTTTAATTGGAGAACTACTAGACTGAACATTTGAGGATTCTGATACTTGTTTGCAAAATTTTGGTCAAACCAACTACGCCTTCTGTGCTTCTGTTTGTACCAAAAAATGAGCCAAATTGCCTCTGCATTCTTTCCGTCCCTAACTGATGTATACTGATGGTGCAAGTCCAAAGATGGTAACAGCAAGAAAACTCTCCTGAGAGAAAGGCCTCTAATAGTGAAGAATCTCTTTATTTTCATGTTTTAGATGATACAACTCCTGAAGACGCCATTCCTCTGGTCTTTCCAGAATTAGACCAGCAGCTACAGGTAAGGATTTTTCTGCAGTCTTTACTCTTTCCTCCTTAGTTTCACAAAATACAGTGAGTGGAAAAGTGGTCTAATTGAGAAAGATTGACCTGGAGACAGAGTGGGGGACATTTCACGTCATCAAGGTTTGCATTTCTAGGGTTTCAAGGTCATGAAGCCCTCAGGTAATGCCCCTGTCTGTTTATGTGGCTATAGCATGAGAATAGCAAGAACTTAGGGGACTTCCCTGGTGGCACAGTGGTTAAGAATCCGCCTGCCAATGCAGGGGACATGGGTTCAAGCCCTGGTCTAGGAAGATCCCACATGCTGCGGAGCAGCCAAGCCTGTGTGTCACAACTACTGAGCATGCACTCTAGAGCCCACGAGCCACAACTACTGAGCCCATGTGCCACAACTACTGAAGCCTGCACGCCTAGAGCCCATGCTCCGCAACAAGAGAAGCCACCGCAATGAGAAGCCTGCACACTGCAACGAAGAGTAGCCCCTGCTCACCACAACTAGAGAGAAAAGGCCTCATGCAGCAACGAAGACCCAATGCAGCCAATATTTAATTAATTAATTAAAAAAAAAAGAACTTAGGGTGTAAGCTCCTACTTTTAAGGAGTTTTGGAGCCTGGGGACAGGGCTGGTCCCTGCTCTCCTTAGCTATGGACGTTTCTGGGCTATTGTAGTTTTGGCCCATTTTGGATTAGTGATTTAGTGATAAACTACAAGGGACACTTGTCATGTGTGGCGAGACTTCAGAATAATCTTCCTTTCTCTACTCCATGCTCACCCTCTCCCCAGTTCTCTGACAATTTGTAGTAGAAGGTAATTATTTTAAGTTAAGCCTTCTGAATCCTGTCTGGTTTGACCTATGAGAAAAATATTTTGTATGTGTAGTCTATGGATGACCTATCAAAGATATCTAATTTTAATACACCAGAATTATTTGAAAGAAGATAATTTATGACCCTTTCATTTTCTTTAGGTGATATATGGTGATCCCAGAAAGATGGCTTTAGGAAGAGGCTCTGCTTAAAATACCTGGATACTGGCCTTGGGTCAAATGTTCACCTGAGTACTTCACTTTGCTGTCACATTTAGACCAGTCTAATAGGGGTTTTGAATCCTGTGCACAGATGTTTGCTTAGTCACCACTTTTTTCTCTAAATACTGATTCTGAAAGCCTTTAGGAGGGGTGTGCCACCTCCAGTTCCCAACTGATGTTTCTTCTTGTCTTACACTTGGTAGCATTTCCCATGTGTGGGTGTGCTTGGCGTCCTGAATTCATTTGAGTTTGGGGCCCCTGGACCAGAACAGCCCTTGACAGAGGTGGGAAGAACCAAGAATGAGCCCTTATGCAACCTAAGATAGAATCCTTTTTTTTTGGCTCCAGTTCTTGTCTCTGTGCCCAGTGCACTGAATTAAAACCTGGAAGCAACTAGGTTGGGTCTGAAGAGCTGGTGTTTCACTGCTGGGGTGGCCCCCTGAAGATCTATCCAATACAACTCAGTTGTGACCAGACCTCTTGGAGGAGCTCTTGTCTCATCTCTGTGCAGGCCTGGGCATCGTCACAGCCCTCCGACAGAAAGCCTGCCAACAGAGCAATATCAGTAATGTAGAGATTTCTGAAGACTGTTCAGGAGGTTATACTAATGACCTTGCAGCTGTCAAAAGACAGCTCTGTTCTCCTGTAAAATTTCCTCTGCAGCTATCAGCCATTGTATCTCCTTCCTCTCCTGTCCCCCATGCAGGGTCTTCAGCCCGGCTCTCTGGTTCCTGCTGTCTAACCATATCCCCCAACCTCTCTTCTTCTCACCATGGAGGACAACTCAGCTGTTCCTCTGCTTTTCCGTCTGGTGTGCTTACATGACGTACAACCTTCCTTGCTTGGGTTCTGTCCTCACTGATGGGCTGTATGTGTGCTGCTCATGGTGTAGTTGGGATTGCAAAATAATAACTATATTTTTTTCCCAGTCACAGTTTTTCCCCTTTATTTTACTGTCACCAAAAGCTATTTTATTATCTTAGGAGTCAGCTGAAAATAAGGAGTTAATGCGTTTTGCAAATAAAAGAGGGAAAGCATGTTTAGATTCATATTCCCCCACCACTATTATGGATCATTAATTCTACTTTCTTGTGCTGACAGTTTTTTTCCTTTGGGAACATTAATGGTCTTCCCTGGCTCATGGATCATTCTTCCCAGGATTCATGGCACCTCTGGCAATTATCCAGATAATTTTTCTGTTAAAGCATTGCAAGATCCCTTTGAATTTTATAGCTTTAATTCCATTTGACATATATTAGAAATTAAGTCTACTTAATTATTTTAATCTAATGAGACTATTTCATCTTCATTGATCCTTAATGAATTAGTCAGTTGAGAAGCTGATTTCAGACTCAGGGGTTATGATACCCCCAACTTCCCCACCCTACAATATGGTATTGCTTTGTCTCTTCATGAACAGAGAGGACCTTCCCAGCACTATAACTAACAGCATTTCAGTAAGGGCTTGTTTTTCTGGTTGAACGATATGATTGAGTTTGTTATAAACATTTACCAGTGGCCAAGCCATTTGGTTAGGGTTGCCTCTGTCTAGGGCTGTTGTCAGTTACCTTTATTCTACACTCCAGGGTGTGAGTAACTAAAATATAAGATGGAGGGGATTGAGAGGGGAAAGATAACACAGAAAGCTACATCTAAAAGCAGACTCTTGTTTCCATGCTTAGCATAAGCATATAAATTTAAGACATTCTGCAGCAGGAAGTCTCTATTGAAAGCAATGAAGATGCTTTATGTATGAAAGGAACAATCCATTCCATGGAGCAGGCTGTCTTTACAGTCAATCCAGTGTGCTTTTATCACATAATAATGACTCTTGGGATTTAACCAACCATCATAATCCTCTACAGAAAAATAAAAGTTAGGTTACAAAGGCATATGAAGTGCCTTGTGGTTGTTACTATTTGCTTGAGGATGAACTGACTCTTACTTATCTCTGCTAGAGCCTTAGAAATGTGCCCAGTGAAAAATAATTGATGCCAGTTGATTATTGCTGGCCTTCCTCTCTGAATACCCTCAGATTTAAATCCTACCCATGCATATTGAGTACCGCTAGGCAAGGGGGGTTTCCCCACAAATGACCTCATTTGATCCCCGCAACAATTGTGTAAGCTAACTATTATGTCTCCACTTTAGGGATGAGAAATATGAGGTCAAAGTTTGGTCTACATAAATTTGCTAATTCAGACTAGATCCCTGATTCTGAATCTAGGTAGCCTTCATTTCCTTACAGCTTTGGTGGAACCTATGGCCTGCTTAAATTATGTTGATAGGTGGAGGGCTTTTGGTTTCTGGCTTGCGAAGTTGCCATAATGTGGTTATAGAACAACCTAGTAAAATCTATTCTGGCTTCCTGATATCCGTTACACGTTCTTTCATAGTTTATAAAATGCAGCTATAAAGTATCTGTTTGGTAGATACGCTATCACCACTTTGACCCCCCCAGAGTTTTCGGTTGCTTTGCCAAGAATGTGGACATGTTTAAGCATGTAATTCGTGGGGCTTCTATTTTCACAGAAGCCAAAAAAAGCCTTGGGCAAGAATAGCAGTGACAAACATTTTTCTCGATGTCTCTATTAAGGCAAAATGTTGGGCAAGAGACCTTGGGCTAAGGTAGGTGTTAAAATGAACCTCTCCTTATAGGCCTCCGCCCAGGGGCAGGTGGTAGGTTGGTTCTATTTTGTGCGGATTCCTTTCCTGGAACTTGGCTTCTAAATCCTTCATGTCCATTAGGGGCCATGTTTGGGTAGAGCTAGTTTAGACCATACAGTCAAAAGAAAGGAGGTTCAATTCTATGTCCATTTGTAAGAATGAATGAAAAATCACTACTTTTCTTTAGGCCTCCGTTTCCTTCTATTTGAAGAAGAGGTAATGATGGACCTCCCTCCCTTTTCTGAAGGATAGCACAATCCTTTAATAGTCTCAAGGTCTGGGTCAGAACCAAATTTGTCTTAAAATTTAACCACATTGTAATGTTTGGGAGGTTGTGGTTTGACCTATAGATGATCCAAAGCTAAGCTTTGTGGTCTTTGTTGCCTCGGAAAGAATATGTTTTATTTGTAATCAGGTGGAGGACATGCTGATAACTAGATTGTAATAAATCTAATGGGAGTGACAGTGACTGGGGCATAGGCACTGGCATTAGGCTGGCATGAATTTGGACCTCAGCTCCGCACCTACTAGTTTTGTGATTTGGGCATGTTATTTACTTTCTGTAAACCTCACTTTTCTGACCTGCAGAGTGGACATAATATCTCACATCGTTGTGTGAATTAAATGTGGTAATGAACAGATCGAGCATGGTGCTTGGCAAAATAATTGCTCAATTAATGTCAATTTCCTTCCCTAGTGAAATTGTTTATTGAATGAAATATTTAAGCACTAGTATCTTTATATGTGTAAAATGAAATGAGAGAAACATCTCTTTGGATTCTTGGGTTAGGAACAGAGATGCTGATGCCCTCTTCTTTAAGCTAAGGTACTTGGAAAACAATACGACTCTTTTTTCAAACCAAATTGAGCAATAGCTTCAATCCCTCCTAAAGTACTCCCATCTAATCTGAGAAGACAGTAACAGGTGTCTCCGTGGTACACATTGAACTTGCTTTTTTCTCAGACAGAGTTTGGTAAGTCCAGAAACTGATGTCACCTCCACAAATAAACAATTTCGTAGCTTTGGTTGTGTACTATAGTATCTTGTTGTCCGAGCAGTCACTCCAGAAACTTCCTTTAGGTCTTGCATCAGTGTATCACTTGCTATCTGGGAAACAAAAATGGTAGAAAATGGAGGAGTCTTAGCATTCTAAGATTCTACTGCACTAGTCTTGAACATCCAGAGAAAACACTGAAAAAATGTCTGCCATTTTCTCTCTGAGGCACACGTTGAAAAGTATCTTACAGTCGTTTTTCTGGCTGCTGGGACCACACAGAAAACATATATAGATATCTTGGAGCT